CCCCCCCGGCCCAAGCAAAGGGTTGTGGCAAGGTGGCGCCCGCCTGTTGCATCTGTCAGCCTGCGAGTGTGAGTGTGAGGGTTCGTTTGTGAAGTCAGCCATCCCTCCCTACAGTTGGAATGTATATCAAGTTCCATTTGCATAGTGCTTCTCAGCGCTCAGCTCTACAAAGTGGAAGTTTCAATGATACAGAATGCCGGCTAAATGTGAATATTTTAACAGAGAAACTAATAATAAGGGGTAGACTATGTCTTGATAGGATTGTTGTTTTCAATTCCCTAATCTGAGCCCCTGTTTTTGTTTTGCTGCAGAGCTAACGTGTTAATGTCCAGGAACATCTGCGTTAAATGCCTCAATAATTAGAATGCACAATACTTATCATAGCTTTTCGACAAAACATAATATACTTTCTGTATATTTCTTTGCAACTGGCAAAATTAAAGAGGTTTTTAGGGGGAAGACAAGCAACAGACAAACAAAAAAGAATGACTTAGAGAACAGCTGAGTTAAAAAAAATATATCAATCCCTGTTAGTTAACACCACTATTTCCAACTATTTCCATCAGTAATAACGAATAACCTATTGTCTAAAAACTATTTAGAAGTTAAAATTAACATGCAGTTAACTACTGCTTGACCAACAAATAATTTCACAAATTAGTCTGGCTCCCTAGAAGGTAAAACTATAAAGCAAACTTTTGAAAATATACCACTTTTGAAGACAGACCAGAGGAATAAGGAATAAGGTTACTTTCGCCTTGCTAAGTCTGAGGCATGGGGTCCTTTGAGAGACGAATGACGATAGTCTTTATGCTTCGGAAATACTGAGATCTAGATCACAAGCAGATCTGCATGCATCTGTCTTCCATCCGTTTGCTTTGTTTGATGAGGGAAGTAGAAAAAAGGCTTTTTTCCGCTCTGATGTTCTTGCCTAGAAAAACAATAGCTTCGTCTGGTTCAACTACACCCACTTTGACCCCTCGTATTACTCACGCGGTTTAGAAGTAATAATCGAAGTGGCATGCGTTGTCCAATTTCACCATCCAAACAATAACATTGAGACGTGCGACTCGAGCGAGAGGTACGTGTACGGGGCGCGCCTACGAGTTGTGCAACCCATCGTACACCATCCGCCGAGATTGAAGCGCCTAGCAGGTCTGCAACCCATCGTACACCTCCTGTTGATTCATTTTAACAGTTGTACGCGTAACCGCTTCGTATGCTTGTACATCTGTAGACAAGCCCCACCATTGTTTTAAATAGATTAAATAGAAAATACTTTCCAAATATTCACAGACCTAAATCAGAAATAAGAAGTTTAGTAGCTAGTTGCAAGACTTGCAGAGAGTTTTGCACGTGGACTCTGTCCATGGTTTAAAGGCACCGTGTACCGTCCCTTTTCGTCTTTTGTTTTATTTAAAACCATATTTAACAATGACAATAAGCTTCACCTTGAAAGATTTGATTTCCAAACCGTACCAATAAACAAAAATATTGAAGTAGCAGACCTGACCAAATCACAGCAGACGAAATTCGAAAACTAGGGTACCGCAAAATAAAAACAAACCTCGGAAAATTGAGCGAGGGCTGTGAAATGAAGAACTTGGCTATAAAAAGAAACACTAGCGGGGGCATTCCTATACTATGTTTACGCCGTAGAACGCTGGCCCGGGCCAGCGCTAGCCCGGGCTGGCGGCGGTGCGTTTACCCCGTGTGGGCCAGCTGATGAAAAAGAGCGCGGTTTTCAAATCTCGACGATCAAACCAAGTATTTTAGGGTAAAATACTTCTCCCGGTACACGGTTTGCAAATCAGCGGGTGTAAAATATTTAACTCTTTACTACTCACATCATTTATCTTTAGGATATACGTGATAGCAACAATTTTTGAAATATTTACAGTATCTTAGATATATCAAGGTATATTGAAGAGGATAGTGAGAATTGAAGCTCTGGGTCGAATAGGGGAATTATTTCCTGTTGGGGTACGAAAGCCACACCGAAATGCCAAGTGCAATACACAAATATCGGGTATTTTAAAAGTCCAGCCGGAGATAGCCCGGGCGAAACGCGTTTACTCCGGGGCTAGAGCAAGCAGAGCGGTGGAGGGGGGAAGGCTAGCGCGTGCTAGCGAGCGGCTGGCCAGCGCTGGCCCCGCGCCGTTTACGCCGGGGTCCGCCGCCTTGTCGAAACAGCGCTGGGTCCATGCCGCTGAGGCGTTCCCACTACAGTGAAACCCCCCCCCCCCCCGTTTACGCCGGGGCCAACTTCCCCCACCACCGACATAGCACGGGCTAGCCTCCGCGGTGTAAACATAGTACTAACAGATTCTTCATGAGGTCGCGGCTGGTCGAAACCGGGGAGCCGTCGTCGGGAACGTAACTCGGAGTCTTATCCGGGTCCGGTTTAGCAGTTGGGGTCTTTCGTTGCCTTTTCTCACACGGCAAAATGGCGGATCAGGTCGGTACTGTGTATTTCTTGTGTGTTTTAAGAGAAATTTGGCCGAAGCGCTTTGGAAACGTGTTCTCCCCTTACAAATTAGCCAGTGATAAATCAGTCCGATTCGAGTCTGCTTGTACTTTTCTGTATTTACGAAGAAAATGAGTGTTATTTACGTCACACGTGGGATGCGTATGCTGCTATCTTCCACGTTTTATTGTCAGTGGTGCTCCATGTTACTAGATTTTTGAACTTAAGTTTTGCTAGACAAGTTCGGTGACAGTGCTTAGGTCATTGCAGTACGGTTTTAAGTCCGGCACATTTTCTTTTGCTGTGCTGAACCTACATGTCGACCGGTTCTTATTCCAACCGGCGGGGAGGTTAGACCATAACCTGTGCTAAAATCGCAAACACTCTAGTTGAGTTTGCGCACAACTTGTTCACAAGCATTGTTCATAAGTTTCAGTACGTAGTACATACTCCTTGAGACACTTAGTTTACGAATTCCTGCAATGTTGTTGTGAGCTAGGTTATAGTGCCCCACCTGTAACTCACTTCCTAGTAGTTGAGTTCTAATTCTTTCTTTATCTTTCAGCAAGAGCGTGCTTTCCAAAAGCAGCCTACCATCTTCCTGAACAGGAAGAAGGGTCTTGGCCAGAAGAAGCGCAAGTCCCTCCGATACACCCGTGATGTTGGTCTGGGATTCAAGACTCCCCGTGATGTAAGCACTACCACTTTGCTTGTAATGGCCAGTCCAGTCAAGTGCTTTGTTACATTGTATTGCTTGTCCACAGGCTGTTGAAGGCACCTACATTGACAAGAAGTGCCCCTTCACAGGCAATGTGTCTATCAGAGGACGTATTCTCACCGGAGTTGTTCAAAAGATGAAGATGCAGAGAACGATTGTGATCCGGAGAGATTACCTTCACTACATTCGTAAATACAACCGTTTCGAGAAGAGGCACAGGAACATGTCTGTCCACCTCTCTCCCTGCTTCAGGTTAGTTTAATATGTATTAACTTGTGAGGCCAATGATTCCGTGGTGAGAGAACTTCTAATAGTTTCCTACACCCCCGTTACATTGGCAAATTAAAGTTTTGTGCTGTGAGATGCTTCTGGATTCAGTCGTATGACCTATGCCATAACAACATTACTTTTGCTTTGGTTTTGTGGTTTCCCTTTAGTGTGGCCATGGGTATGCCCACCCTCACCCTTTCAACATAAGATGTTAATAGCCCAGTGCTTGTCTACTGACTGGAAGGTTTTTGTATCTGTCCTTTGTGTCTTATGACCTGCGGTGCAAGAGTGTCCATCTCAAGCGAGCGTCAGCTAGCCCTGTGCCCCCTGATTTTGTAGCTGAAGTACAGTGATTTTGTCTGTTGTCTCAACCCTAGACGCCACATTGTTGCTTGAGATGAGTTGCAGTGTCCAGTTCTATGGGTAGATGAAACCCTTGTAGGAACCATACTTCCTGTATGGTAGTTGTGGGCCGATAATCTTGGGAACAATTGTATCTTTTTAGCACCCTAGCCGCCACATTGCTATTCTTGATGAAATGTAGTGTCCAGTGCTCAGGGTAGAATATAACCTTGTAGGAACCATTCTGTTTCTGTGGCAGCTAGTGGGCCGAAAATCTTGGAAACAATTGAGTTACAATATGTGAAGGTAGGCCAATGATTCCGTGGTGAGAAGTTCTGTCATGGGCTCCAGCACCCCCGTTACATTGGCAAATGAATGGTTGGGCTAAGGGATGCAGCTGACTGAGGCTGCAAGATCTTTGCCCAAGCTACATTTGTTTTCCTCATGTGTAGAGCCATGCTGAGCATATTCTATTGCTGGAGATTGCCCAAGCCGCCACAATGCCACTTTAAATAAGTGGTAGTGTCCAGTGCTATGGGCAGATGATCTCCATGTAGGAACCATGTTGTGACTATCACAAATTATGGGCCGAAAACTTGGAAACAGATGACTTATTAATTAAATTACTACATATGATGATACTATACGACGGTCTTCTGAAGTTCCATGAACGATAACTATTCGTATGCTGACTGTAGTTTGAAGTTTCACAAGTCCCAAGCCGCCACACCAGTGCTCTCTTTAGCTCTTGGTGTCCAGTGCTATGGGGAGATAAAATCCTTGTAGGAACCATTCTTTCACTATGGGAGTTGTGGGCCGAAAATCTTGGAGACATAATTCATGATATTTGAATTTATTCCTGTTTATTCTATGATGAAACTATACGACGGTCTTCTGAATTCTCCATGAAAGACAGCTATTCGTATACTGATGAACCAACTTTTAATTTGCTCTATTCCCAAGCCGCCACAATGCTGCTTTTTGTAAGCAGTAGTGTCCAGTGCTATGGGTAGAGAACACCCGTGTAGGAACCATTCTATCTAAGTAGAAGATATGGGCCGATAATCTCGGGAACACTTGCTTTGTAAATTATTTTAATATGATGATACTATACGACGGTCTTCTGAATTTACTATGAAAGACATTAATTCGTATACTGATTATTAATTCTGGAGCTTTGATGCTGCATTTCCCTAGCCGCCACACTTTTTTTCATATGAACTTTAGTGTCCAGTGCTCAGGGAAGATTAATTCCCTGTAGGAACCATGCTGTCTTTTCATAGCAGTCCATGGGCCGAAAAATTTGGAAACATTTTTCTAGAAAGTGACTTATTTGTTGAGATTTAATGGATTATTCTGGCCTGAGTGTTGCCCCAGCCGCCACAATGCTATCTTATGTAAGTGGCAGTGTCCAGTGCTATGGGCAGATTATACCCTCGTAGGAACCATGCTTCCTTCCTTGGAATTTATGGGCCGAAAACCTGGGAACACCCTCCTTAGGCAGTCCTAAATGCATTGGTTAAACCGTTAACCCTTTCCCCGGCCGCCACGCTTCAGCTGATAATCAGTTGAAGGGTCCAGAGCTGAGGGTAGATGATCTCCATGTAGGAACCATGTTGTGATTATCACAAAATTTGGGCCGAAAACTTGGAAACAGATCACTTCTTAAATTGCTATATATGATGAAACTTTACGACGGTCTTCTGATGTATTACCATGAAAGATTTATTCGTATACTGATCATAGCAAAGTCTAATTTGTCTGGCCATTTGTGATGATATCACACGACGGTCTACTGAGTTTCATGACTGACAACTCGTGTCCTGATTATGGCTTTTATGTAAGATTTGATGTTGAAGATGGTAACTTCATCTTTTAGGATTAATGCACATTTAGTATTTGTCTAATGATTGGTTTCTTTCTGTTTCAGGGATGTGGAAATTGGTGATGTTGTTACTGTTGGAGAGTGCCGCCCCCTCAGCAAGACTGTTCGCTTCAACGTCCTGAAGGTCTCCAAGGGTGCTGGATCCAAGAAGAGTTTCAAAAAGTTCTAGAATAAATCATTGATTAACTAAATATTGTGACATTTTTTTGACAACCTTATTTAATCATCGAATTTCTTACAAAGCAAGAGAATCACTTATGAACTTGTCTATATCCTCAGTTTTAGCATGGGCTGGGTCGTATTTGTTGGCAAGTTTCTCCCAGTCCTCTGGACGGGTATCTTTCACATGCTTCACAGCCTTTGCCATCATTTTCTTCTGATTATCAGTGCACCTTTCGCAGTTGCTGTCAATCACCTCTGGCAGCAGCTCTGCAACAGTAACAAACAGAGGGACCCTTACCACAATGAAGCACTTAATTGGGGGTCAGCGGTGGCCGTGAGCCACTGGAAATGACATGCATCGGAGGCACTCTCCACCCGCTCATTAGTTTGTCAGTACCGCCCTCCGCGTGCGAGCCAGTCGACCGTACCGTACAGAGGTAATTTGGGTACCCACACCGCGATCGAGCCCAAGCCTTTCAGACTGGTGGAGTTTTCACAAGGGGCTCCTAAAGGATGACACTCCGTGGCACTCACTCTTCATGTCGCGGGCGTCCGCCGTGCACGGCCCCTCCTCCAAGAAGCACTTGATGAAGGAGCCGAGGATTCGTTGGTTGCCCAGGACCTCGTCGACGTTGATGTGGGCGAAGCGGCCCTCTTCGTACTTCTCCACAGCCTCGGCGAGCAGGATTACAGCCAACAGGCAGGCCAAAGACCACGCACGCGTCATAGTTACTCGAGAGGGGACTCGGATGCGCGATAGGGCAAGAAGCTTGTTGGTGTCTGGAACACTGCAGACTCACCTCTGCTGGACACGAAGTACTCGTCCCGGGCCACTGGTCGCGCTTATATACCTCCACAGCTGTCACGCGAGCAACTACCTCAGCACGATAAACAGCGGTCTTCCCCCGGACAAAAGGGGAGGAGGGGACTGTTTCGTGCTGTGATTTGATGTCGCACAACATCGGATTGCGGTCAATTCGGGCACAAGGGGTTTAATTCAAGTGGGTTCTTGACATTCAAACTCGTTCAGGACTTTAGAGTGCAGTCGTCTCATGAAGGGCTGATCAAGGTGGTAAAACCGTGACACTCCGTGCTAAATGGTTGTGCTAACTAATGTGTAGAGGCGTGGATACGAGTGTTCACGGCGTGGGCTTCGCTCAGCAATGCCTGTGGTACTTTCATATTTTCATCCGTGTATTTCTTTTTTAATGCACATACTTTTCTAGTGCAGTCGCATTTCCTCAAAGATTTTTACACGAAAAGGTGCTGAATCGAGGCAGAACCATTTTAACAAAACGAACTTTTTAAAATCTTGGCGCGGGCTCTATCTACTACAGCAGGGCAGGAAACAATGGTGTCGTTAAAAGACATTATGGAAATACACTGTTCATCGTCCGTAAAAAAAAATTTGAACGAGAAATCAAAACATTGTTGGAAAATCTTTCCTCGTGAATTCATGTTTGTCAAATTATGTGGCAGCAAACCATAGTCAACGAGCAAATGTGGGCGAAGTTAGGCCGCAGTTCCAGTTGCAGTTGGTTACAGGCTACAAAATGTGTCGTCTGTCTTTCTGTTTATGAAGTAAACAATGTTCTTCTCTGCACGTTTTTTAGCTGACAGTCGTTTGACCCGGTTTTAAGCAATGGGCTTATTAGTTAATTAATTGTCTCTTACTAGTCTCATTTTTACTATTTTTTGAAATTTGGAAAGTTGTGATCATGAAACTATCTTAAATAGGAAAATTTCACGGATGGATTCTTTAATATCTACCCCACGTTCTTCACCAATGGTTTGTGGATTTGTTTCGTGAATGGCGTTTTGTGGAAATGTATCGCCGCCGATCCCTCACTCTGTTTTAACGGTATTACTTTATATTGCAGCATAGCTTACTTCAGTTTAATTCCTCGGATTGGAGAAGATCTTTATCGGAAATGAATCGTACCATAACCCTACTTGGCAAATTTAAAGGAAGTCATGCTAATATGAAAATCGATCCCTGCATTCTTTTTTAAATAGCTTCCGTTCAGCTTTGCAAAAAGAAAAGTTCGCTATGTGAGTATTATCTTCATGTCTTGGAGTGTGATTATTTTTTAATTATGAAATTTTCGTTTCATCTAATTACATCATTCCCTGCAACCTCAAACCCTAATTATCAATCATTCGCATGTGGTCCACGTACTGTTTAAATTATGATCTTAAATTGGCCTCTTGTCATGTGTGAATGATTTTATGTTATTCCTGGCGTTTTCATTGCAGCAACTCAGCTACCAAGTAACAGCTTCAATATGGATTTCCGTCTCCTTCCCACCTCGAAAGAAATTTTAGAGTCAACAAGCCCTGAATTGTATCCCAACATTATCAAAGGAGAGTACCCTGATGTGGACACTTATTTGGACATTCATTACACTTTGCAAAGAGAAGACTTTATTCGGCCAATCCGGGAAGGCCTTGCTGCTTTCAGAAAAGCTCCTGATAATGGGAAGAACTCCAACAGCTTACGGATATTTCACAATGTGCAGTTTTCTAAAATCAACAGAGTCAGTCATGAATTGGGGATTGATGTTCTCTTCAATATTGATGACTGTATTGATGAGGACTGGGAGAACTCCAAGAGATTCATGCGGGGGTCACTCTTAATTTTTACCAAGGATGACTTTAAAACTGTGATTATGGGTACAGTTCTGCAACATAATCCAGCTCAGCTTAGAAGAGGTTGTGTTACAGTGCAACTTAATGATGTAAGTCACTGTTCAGTTGAGAAGAGTGTACATCGGTACACAATGGTTGAACCCGATACATACTTTTTGCCTTACAGTCAAGTAATGAAAGTATTATTGAGTCTAAGTGAGAGGTCATTTCCATTCCGTAATGAAATTATTTATGCCTATAAAGGAGGATATGAAATAGAGTACATTGATCAGTCAACCCGCTTTGAATTACCCTGGGGTGCTTTTGCACCTGCTCAAGAAATTGATCGCTATCTCACTGCTCGAGATATGTGTTTAAACGAATCACAGTTTAAAGCTCTTACTGCTGCTCTTACCAAGCGCTTAGTTCTCATACAAGGGCCTCCTGGAACAGGAAAAACTCATGTTGGAACTAAAATTGTGGAAATTCTGTTGCTTAATTCTAAAATCTGGAACAGAAATAATGAGACTCCACTTCTGGTTGTTTGTGCTACAAATCACACACTGGATCAATTTTTGGAAAGGCTCCTGCCTTTAACAGATCGGGTGGTAAGAGTTGGAGACCAGTCAAAAAGTGAGAAACTCATTCCATATAATTTGAATACAATCCTTCGGAATGAGGAGGGTAGACAAAATCAACCCGCCTCTATGAGAATTTCTTATAAAACAATGATGCAACAATGGAATAGGATTGAAAAGTTACAACAGTTCAGAGATAAAGTTGGACCCGCCTTGAATGAACGCCATAAATATGAGCAAGAAACTCTGCTACAAGAAAAAGACTACTATGAAAGAGTGCAAGCTTTCAAGGAGGTACAACAAGAGAAAGGTCTTGAAAAGCTTCAGGAGGCGTTGATAGTTGGTATGACAACCACCTGTGCTGCTCAGATGAATTCTGTTTTGCAGAAACTACGTTCTCCTATTGGTATGTTCTTTATCTCATCTTTTTTATCTTGATGTTTTAAGGCAAATGTTAATTGTTAATGTGTTTTCTTTTAGTTGTGGTTGAGGAAGCTGCTGAAGTTCTTGAGGCACACATCATTGCATCTCTCACACAATATTGCAAACACCTCATATTGATTGGTATGTAGTAATTCAATTCTTGACTCAAGTGGTCTGTTTCCTATACATTGAAGTATGCTAATCCATGAGTAAACGTTCTACAGGTGATCATCAACAGCTACGCCCTTCAACAGCTCATCCATACCTTTCTGAAAAGTGTCATCTGGAAGTTTCACTGTTTGAAAGGCTTGTGAACAATGGTGTTCCCTACCAAATGCTCAAGACCCAGCACCGCATGCGTCCTGATATTGCTTGCTTGCTCACCCCTGTGTTTTACAGCGTTCTTGAAAATCACCCATGCACTCTTAATCGGGAGCCAGTTAGGGGAATGAAGAAAAACATGTTCTTTATGTCTCACTCATTCCATGAAAAAGAGGTACAGTATTGTTTCCATTAGCATTCTATTACATTAATTATTATTTACCAATGTATATTCATTACATTCATTCATTATCTGATTTTTGGCAGCATAAAGCAACTCATGGGTACTCCAACATGTTTGAAGCTACATTCATCATCACACTTTGCCAACATCTTTTGAGACAAGGGTACAGGGCCTCTGATATTGTCATTCTTTCGATGTACATTCAGCAAGTGAGGCTGCTGAAACAGGTAAATTTTGTGTGCTGCTAGATTTTTAAATATTCACAATAGTCTAGGATAATTTGTTCTTGTTTTAATCTCTCTCTCTTTCCAACTTAGCTGCAATCAAAGGAAAAAGAATTAAGTTCTTTGGCTATAACATCAGTTGATAATTTTCAAGGTCAAGAGAGTCCCATTATTCTTCTCTCACTTGTAAGAAACAACAAAGGCACTATTGGATTCCTGCGCACTTCAAACCGCACCTGTGTTGCACTGTCAAGAGCACGGAATGGTAAGTAACTTTTTTTAGTGTGTTGATACATGTTTGTTTGATATCTTTAACTCTGCTTTGAATGTTAACAGGTCTTTACATTTTTGGTAACATTGAATTACTTGCGTCTCAGAGTTCAGTGTGGGAGAAATTAAAAGATGTTCTCACAAAGCAGGGAGCTGTTGGTCCAGGTTTACCTGTTGTGTGCTCAACTCACCTGACTTCAAATGCTGCAGACTTGTACCGCATTGGAAACTTGTCATCATGTCCAAATTGCTCGTAGGCTCTAGTTTGATTAGCTGTAAATTTCAGGCAAAAGGACAGAATGGTTTATATACTCAATTCATTTTATTGAGAACCAATTTTCCCCATTTCACACATATACAATCAAGAGTATGAAATACATACAAACTTAATTGTCATTTGAAAACAAAAATCACTTATTTGATAGAAAAATAACAAAATGTAGCAAAGTCATCCAACTCTGCATACTTGATGTTGCATGCTTCACTTTAGTCAAAGATGTAAAATGTCAAAGATTGTAAGCACTAAGTTAATAAATTATTCAAATTAATCTGCTTTTCATAATTATCTACCGCTGTGTTCCGAACACACACCCACACTTTATCACAGATGCCTTCATCATAACACAAATTTACAACCACTCAAATAGAAGAATACTGGTAATATGTAGAGTGAGTTACTGGTAACTTAAAGAAAAACAAGATTTCATTAGGTCCAAAACAATACTTAGGTAATAACTGCACTTCAAACATCCATTACCAATTGAAAAAGTTAACTGTCTAGAATTTCAGCAGATCATTCTCATACAGTCAATTTCCCTAAATGGATTTACTTAGGAAATTTAAAAACACCCTTCTTCAAACTCTTGCTAGTCTCACCAGGCTAAAGGAAAGAAAAGAAAAGGGGGTCAAGTTTGCAAATACCTCCTGAATCTTTCAGCATGATAAAATTAATGCATACCATGAGTTTAGCACCCAGCAACATGCGAGCCTTATCCTCCTCCTGTGGTGTTGGTGAATCATCAGCAACAGCTTTCATTTTCAGTAATTTGTGTTTAATAGCCTAGAAAATATTGCAATTGAAGTTTTTAGAGGTGAATAGAAATTTTATAAAAAGTATCTCAACCTAAAACAGCTTAAAAACAAACCTGAGAAACTATTGCTCGTCGACACTCACTCTTCAAAGCAAGTAACAAATCAAGCCATGTCCATGTTACATTGTGATACTCCATCATTCTTATGAGCAAGTTTAAATCTCGGACATTAGAGAGACTTTTCTCTTTGTTACCTTTGTAACTCACACGGACAGGTACTTCGGGAATTTTTATGTAGATGAACAGTTTATTCTTCTCTGCTCTTTCCTAATAATGTGATTTTTCAAAACCCAGGTTAAGATATTAGATAAAAAAAAGTGCACTAAAAACGTTTTCAATACATAAATAAAACCTCATCCTTTACATTAGCTGATATGGGGTGAGTAGTTAAACATTCAGTTGATTGTTTTAAGTGTGCCATAGTTATGGTGTTGGTTAATTGAGATAGATTATAGATATATGAGATATGAGGAACTATATTAATTCTTAGGAATACTAACAAATTTATTTCAGCGTGAAAAGACAACTGAAAATTCTAGTTCCAAGGGGGAATGATGCTTTTATTTTTTTGCCAGTTTGTCAATTTAAATTTGCTACAAATGTGCAGGGAAAAAAATCATTTTCAGCTCAAACAGAAGATTTTCTAATTGACCATACCTGACTCTTTCTAAAGCAAAACAAAATTAAATTGTGGTCTTTTGAGTGAAAGTGGTACCTAAGGACGCACACCATACCAAGCACACCACTTCCTCATAGTGAGATTAGAATGGAGGGCCATAAAGAATACATCCACAGATATAAAATAAATTTTACAGCTACTAAATACAATTACCTTCATTTTTTCAACGTCATCTTTATGTTCAATAGGAACATAGAAGTTGGAGTCTTTCATTTTCTTCTGTTTTGAACTTCCTGATATTCTTGAACTAGATGACCTACTGCTAAGGCTTCTAGTATCGGCTTCAATATCGCTTATATCTACCTGCTCTCCCTCAATATTTTCAGGATCTCTTTCAGGGAAGCAAAATTTAAGCATAGTATTAAAAAACTTTTTGGTCAGACCTGTAAAGTTCAAAAAAATAAAAAATAAAAATGCAAGATGCATACTTTTTTGAAGCTACTTTTGATGTCGCTTGTCGGACTAGAGATCCGGGTGGTTGATGTTCATTTCCGCCCATGTGAAGGAGAAGACGGTTAAACGTGTAAACGTGTAAGCGTATGTCCTTTGTCTCCGTTCCCGGCGCTAGAAGAAACAGATGAGAATGACGAGGCGCGGGACCAGAAGTTGTTCACAATGGAACACTAAAACACACAACTGTCAGTGTTCCGTTTTTATTTTTGCCCGTTCTACTTTGGCGAGAGGGCCTACGTGCTCTCTTTTTATTTTTTTCGTTTCATTGCCAACGCCCTGCTCGTCTCTAAATTCGATTCGTCATCAACACGTCCTCAACCCACTCCGATAACTTCCCCATTGTCATGCGGTTATCGAACCACTTCATAACCTGACCGAACGAGAAAGAACGAGTTGCTTCGGATCATATATACTTCTGCTCCCCTGACTTTTCGGATCGCCATGAGAGAGTCGGGCGGCCATCCTTTCTCACCCTGTTTTCTCAATTGTTATCAATCTTGCTAGTTATCCCCGCCCCCTTACCCCTCCGATCCGTCCTCCCCCTTTAGCCCATCCTCGACAAGTGTCATCGGAATGTGCGGCCTGGGGCCGAGCTCGGCGCACACCGGGGCTCACAGTAGCTCCACTAGAGCCTCCCGGAGCCTCGCGGAGCCTCTCGCTGGAACCACACACGACGCAGGGTAGCCCGAGGAGCGCTAGCACGCTTACGCCCGTTCCCCCGGCACGCAATGCCCCCCCCCCCTCTTCCAGTCTTCCATTTCTCTCCCTCTCCTTCACATCTACGCATTGACAAAAGGGTTCGGCGAAGAAGCGATTCAAAAAACGCTGTAAAACAACGCTCTGCTGCCATGAAAGCAAAATGAAAAGGGTTACGCTACCAGCCAAAAAATTCCTCATCTGACGGTGGGCAGTGTAGCTATTTCAGAATTTAGGAGCAGGTAACGATCACCAAGACCATCAGCACTAGCGCTCCAGAGAGAGAGAGAGAGAGAGAGAGAGAGAGAGAGAGAGAGAGAGAGGCTTTAATGGTGGCTGATAAACATCAGCATTTACGTGGATCCCAAGGCGGATTACCGAAGCGGTGCAACGAAAATATGGAGACATTTACTGGGCACGTGCGGGAGGCACGGGCGTAGGAAATTGCATGGCGATCCGACGCAGGCGCAACCGAGTCGAAACTTATTCATCATCGTTTAATTTTTTTTTTTTTTCGGAGTGCTCCGTGCGTCTGTGAGCTTGGAGGTAAAGGTCAAACAAGTACACTGCCATGTTCACTCGTACAAGTCTGGCTCCTCCCTTCCACCGACTGCATTCTCCTTCTCTCGCAGCCTCGCGTCCGTCCGGGGCATTCCGTGTCGACAGACAGACGGCCGGGCGGCCGGGCGGACAGACGGGCGGGCGGATAGAGCGGCCAAGACAAGCTCACGTCGAGTGGTGCTCAGCGCGGCGTGGCGCGGCGATATGAGGTGGGCACTCGGTCACTGCGTCCAAATGAAGTCAAATTAATGAAGACTAATGAGCGCAGAGAGTGTAGCATTTAGGGACGTCGACGACGACGTCAGAACTATTCATTTTGAACACAGAAACCTTTCGAGCGCGATGCTGAAATCAGAGTTATATACGTGTCTGGCGAAATGTGCACTACTTGCACCGAGGGGAGCGAGCGAAGGAAACGGAGAGTCGGGGATGGAATGAGACCAAAAGGGAGAGCAGACTGAGAGAGGAAAACAGAACTGGCGCTGCTTCCATACCAGGCAGCCGTAGGGATAGACGCTCCCCGCTCCCCCAGTTTATTATTGTACTATATGATGATTCGTGATCCACGCCTGCTTTGTGAGCGGCGACGAGGCCCTCTTTGTCCCCCCCCCCCCAATGCTCAAGCGGGTCAGACCCACACGCTGTGGGTGTACACATACCACCCAACCACCATTACCGTCATCTGCAAATCCAGTTCCACGAATGAGACGCCCTCATTGCCCCCCCTCCCTCTCTCCCAGCGATTAATCGCCATAGCGCGACAAAACGCCATCAAAATGTGGAAGAATTTCCCCCCCAGAAAAGAAGACAAAAAGTGTGTAGCGGTGGCAGGCAGGGCGGAGGGTGGCACGCGAGAGGGAGGTGCCGCCGCCAGGCCGCCCCCACCCGGGCGGCGGACGGGCAGACAGACGGACGGGCGGACCGGGGAAGGGTGGGGCCTGGCTCGATCGATATGCCGGCAAATGTTGTATAAACTATATACTCTGTCCCTTTCACACCCACTCACCAACCAAGTGGCTCTCTTTTACTCCCACTCCTCCCCCCATCTCTCTCTCTCTCTCTCTCTCTCTCTCTCTCTCTCTCTCTCTCTCTCTCTCCCTCACTCTCGCCGCATCTTCGCATCTGGCTCCCTCGAGTGCCCAGCTTTATCACCACGCCACCTTGCCCTCCTGTTCCTCACTTTACACTTCTCTCTCTTCGTCGCCCACACAAATATGGAAACCTACCTCTCTCTTTATTTCTGAGATATCGCCGTTGTCTTTAAAAGCCCATAAGCCTTCATCAGTCGGAGATATAGGACTACACAGATACTATGTACGTGCCAGGGGCGTCGACAGGACGACTTTTCAGGGGGGGGCAAACGGTTCGAAGTTATAAAAGTTGCCTACCTACTAGGGGCTATTATCTTATTTAATGTTCATTATTTATAATTTGGATATTGAATTAACACTGAATCGACCGCAAATAACAAGAAGATTGGAAGGGCAGTCAGCTTCATGTGCAACTAAGCACCAACCAACCTTTTGTAATGTTGGATACGGTTGCCTCGCCAGCCAAAGAGGACATATGTAACTGCAAAATTCGCGAGCGAAGCGAGCCAAAAGAAATTTTCATTTAAACTCTGAATATTAAGTCAGTTATTGAGAGGAGTGGGTCGATCTAATGTATCAATCATATTGATAGGGAATTGGAGCATTCCTTGTAAATGCAACCTTGAAGTCAGTCCAGTCTGAGCTAAAGGTAGGAAAAGCATAACATGTTCAGTTAACTCGCGAGCGAAGCGAGCGAGAAGCCAGAGCTGATCTATTATATTTGACACCTCAGGATCGATTTTAGAAGGGTTTTTAACGTTCCATTTACTAATTTCTTTCTTTTAATATTGTCTATCGTTGCCCCCCCCTGCCCCCCCCCTGGCCAAAATTTGGGGGGGGCATCGCCCCCCCTGCCCCCCCCGGTGTCGACGCCCCTGGTACGTGCGTGACTTCACGAACATTCATCGAAAGTAAGCCCTTCTTAGCTGAGCATCAAAAAAGCACTCTAAAAACGCAGGTGTGTGAATGTCGCTCACTTAGGTGTGTGCATATCCATTCGTACACTTAGCGGGTAAATATATGAATTTTTCCTAGAAAATTCACGTTTACCCCCCTGAGTGCACGAATGGATAATCACACACTTGCAAGTGAGCGACATTCACACACTTGCGTTTTCAGTGCAAGAAACACTCTCCCTTCTTGTTATTTAGTGGCCTCCGCTTCACTTTGCCCTATCGTGTCAAAGTTTTAACTGCTGAACCAATTCCGAAAGGACCACTGTGTTCTCATTTTTTCACTTTTTTTCCACCTTATCATTCTTCGTCATCCCTTTTCACATTGTTATACTTATTATCCTCTATTTATCATAATCCGTTTTATCACCGCCGCCTCTACGGCCGCGCCCTTTGCCCGGTCGACACGCAGTATTGTTTCCCCTCTCTTCTCGGCTCGGGCCACCACACACTGCGCGACCCGCGACGCGTCGGGAAAAGTTACACGTCGCTCTATGCCGGTCCAACCTCCCACCGCTCATCCGACTGTGTTTCTCGCCTCCCCTCAGCCATCCTCTCATGGACTCATCCTGGCGGCACAAATTCTGCAACGAAAGTTGATTGCTTAAATTCGTGCAAATAAAAGATACAAAATCCAGTGTGTAGGTAAACAAGAAAGGAACACGTTTTACTTGAAGGAAGTCCTTAGGCACACACGTAGATGGACGCCAGTACGTCTGTATCACACTCTAGAGACAAAATATACTTGTTTAAATTTACGAATTACAAAATCGATGTTGAAAATGTACGATCGACATAATCACAAATTGACAACAGAAGCCATCGTCCCCCTCATTGTTGAAGAATTCCAAATTAATTTGTGTCGTGTCACAATAAGTTTGGAAAGATGCGATTTAAAATCGTTCCTCTGCGTGGAAGTTTCTCTCATGAAACCAATATTTTTCACAGTGTTTTGTCTGTCTGTCCCACTGGCCACCCCCCGCGCGTGAGCGGATGCCGCGGACCAACAACCTCTCCGCCTCTCAATAACAGATCATAGAAAAAAAAAGGAAGGAAAAAAATCATCAAAATCCTGAGGGGATTGAAGAGAAAAGGGAGGTGAAACAGAACAGAAGCACCCTCGCGAATACATTTGATCCGTTATGGTAAAATAGGTTTCAACTCCCCATCCAAGTTTTGTCGTACTCATAATGTGACTTGGTGAAGGTGAACTTCGAACGAGAGGCCGCGCTACGCTAGTCAAAAACTTTTGGATCATACGCACTTACAAACGAACATGACACAAACACTCTGACGCTGCTGCCTAAATGAATAAATGTAACTTTGTCAGAAAATAAAATGCAATACCGCATTTCCCATTATTTAGCGGACACCCCCCCCCCCCTCACCGTAGGTCTCCCGTGTTAGCGCAAGGCACGCGCACGCCGAACTTATCGCTGACAGATTGCGCTCGGTCTCTGACGGCCCCCGGTCGCGCATTTTATTTTTTCATCCGACGCTTCTCTTATCCTCTCTCTTTCTCTCTCTCTCTCTCTCTCTCTCTCTCTCTCTCTCTCTCTCTCTCTCTCTGCTCTCGTATGAGAGCTGGTGCGGTGAGCGACAAGGATGGAATAGAGAACGAATAACGAGCTTCTTCATGACAAAGTGGGGGAGAGGGGAGGCGTTGTGGTGT